ACTTCATTGACCATATTAAAATGATTAGGGATAGGGCGGCTAAGGTGCCGAGCCGATTGTTCCATATTACCGAGGAGAACTGGGGAGCATCTCAAAATACAATAGTAGAAGGATGGCAGTTCGCCCCTCCACTCTGACGTCACGTCCGATGGCGTACCCCGACGTCACACATATTACGTGGGCTGACGTCACATTACGTGAGCTGACGTCCACGCGGGAAATTTGAATTTCCGGGTGTCGGCCATTTTGTCGCAGTAAATTTGAATTTGTGCACGTGGTTGGTACTAAATTTGAATTTGTGCGGGAATTTTGAATTTCCGAATGTCGGCCATTTTTGGCGCGGCAAATTTGAATTTGCGGAAGTCGACCATTTGTCACTGTAAATTTAAATTTGCGCGGTAGACTGACGACGTCACACTGTAGCGGTGAATTTTTGAATTTGAAAAGACACTAATGACAATTGTTCGACAAAATAAAAGATGTGGAATTTTTGAATATATATTTATATTTTTCTAAACCGAAAATACTGTTATATGTTTGAGGTGTTGAGTTTTGTCAGGTTTGCCGACATCTCTACGACGTTGTCGTAGTGGTCGATTATATGGTTGTACTCGAGGCGTAACCGATCCACACTCGAAGCCGAGACCCTCATCGACAGATTCCAACAGTTCATCTAAGTATTTTGTATGATCTGATACTGTCGAATGAAGGTGTTTGAAGGCAATTTGAATTTGGATTTGTGAGGGAAAATTTGAATTTTAGACGTCACATCACGTGCTTGTTGCCTTCGTCGTCAGCGCCAGTTGTAATGGCATCTAGTGACAATTGTTACTGTAAATTTGAATTTGAGCGCTAGGTTTGAAATTTTGAATTTCAGGATGTCATCCGTTTTGCTTCGTTGCGATAAATTTGAATTAGAGCGGTAAGTGATTGCTGGTTTTTTTGTGTACCTGTCTAATGGTTTTTGGGGATTTTTTTACACCTTTCTAATGGGGTTATTTAAGTTTCTAAAATACCTTTCTACTGTGACCTTTAAGTTAGGTCCCTTGTTTTTGTTAAACACTTTACTTTAACCTTTCACATTAATTTCCATTAAATATGACATTGAGTTGGGAGAATGTGTGGGATTTTTATGGTATATAAATACGACATAAAGAATGGTGTAGTTTTTCCGTCAGCCCCGATGAGTGCAGAATTTCCGGCCTACTACTATTGTTCCGAATATGGTAAGTACTATTTCTTTTTTCTCCAACCACCTGAATAAGACGCTATGTTGTAACAGTGTTCGGTACGTAAAATTGACGTTTTGCGGATTAATCGCTTTCACCATGGCAACTGTACAAAAAGTAGATACTTTTGGTCCTAGTACCAAAAAGAAATTGACCTTGAAAGTTGGCCAATTAAAAAATTACAATCACGGAGATATGTCACATTGACATCGTTTTACATTGCAGGTTGTAAGATATTTCTAGGTATACATACAAATCAAATATTTTTGCATATTCAATGCTAATAATGCTGTTACCTATACGTATGTACATGTATTGAAAATGATTTACGCTGGCTATTTTTATTTAAACCATGTGTAACGTAATTTACATATTCGGCGAACGTAATTTTAATACGTATACAACCCGCTGTCGCGCGTAACGCCATCTACTTCAGACCCATTGCACTATTATCTGTCATTTTGAATTCAAAATTTGAAAAAGTTAATTGCAATTAATTTTAATTAAAAAACTGTATGGTAAGTTTTTTATTTTAATACAAAATATAACAATATTAATTGTGTATACAATAGAAATGACTGAAACTGATAGCGACATGGATTGCACTCCGACAGAGATTATAGAAACGGCAGAAGATGCTACCTTAGATTTGCTCCCTACAAAGTCGCGAGAGGTGAGAGGTAAGAACGAATAGGTTATAAGTTAACCTAGAAACTAGAGTGGCACGACACGTGACGACAAGAAAGCAGAAGTTCTTATACCTAGTAGTGAAACTGTGACTGAATCTAAATTCGAATATAATTTGAAGTAAAGGGGGTTGGAGAAAAAATGTTATGTTTTATTCGTACAAAAAATGCGTTTTCGGGACTCCGAAGGTTGCTGGACTCCGCTAACGCGTCGTCCAGCAACTATCTTCCTCGTCCCGAAAACTGACATTTTTTGTACTAATGAAACAAATAACTATTCTTTTCGGCTTTCTCCTTTGTACTGTTTTTAATTTTGTATTTCATTACAGATAATCCACACTTAATATCTGCCTCTATGGACATCGATTTAGATGAATTGAATAATACGATATACTGTAAACCATTCAAAAATGCCGGAGATTTATGCGTGGGTGATAAATACAAGGTCCTGAATCTTAACATCATCTCGACGAAATATGGTTCCCGGGCGATGGTTGAAACGGCCGATTTTAAATGTGTTTTACCTGAGAGGTATTACCACTTCTTTACGGATGATTCACGTATGGACGCTTTCAATCAAAAACTGCGAAGAATCGACATCTACCTGATTAGTTTAGGGGCAGCCGGAAAAACAACTAATTTAAAGTTTGTTTAAATTGCATGTTTGTATTGTGTATGATGAACCCTATGGTAATAAAAGCTATAAAACTTGATGACTTGTATATTAACTGACACTAATAGTATATTATTATACGAGTTTAATAAGACGCTGTATTATCACACGAGTGTGATAATACGTCTTATTAAACAAGTGTAATATACTATTTTATCTACTTTGCTTTACTGAATTCTTGAAATTTCGGCTGCTCAATTTACCGTATTAAACTAGGGTCTTTTGTGACAGTTGATAACCCTGTATGTTCAAAGTTGATAACACTGATCTAGTAGCAGTGAAACAAATTCAAATAATCTGTCATTTAATTTGGATGTACATTTTTTGAAATGGAAGCCGAAAATGACTTTACTTGTACACCGCCAGATATACGCAAAGCCGCACAAGAGGCTACTGAAAATTTGCTGCCAGCAAAATCCAAGCCGGCATATGAAAAAGCGTACCAGGCTTTCACAGAGTGGTGTCGAGGAAATGGTGTATTAAGTGTAAGTGAAAATGTCCTTCTTGCGTATTTTCAAGAGTTGAGTAACACCAAGAAATCTTCAACACTTTGGACAGCCTACAGCATGCTGAAAGCTTGCTTGAATATTCATCAGAATAGGGTAGATGACAAATTTTTGACAACTTAACTTAACTTTAAAATATGATATTTCAGCAAAATAAATCATATTATTGGAAATTTATGCAATTTAACAGCGTTTTGGCGCTAAAATAAAAACCTACAATAGGTTTTTATTTTAGCGCCAAAACGCTGTTTTGTGTCATGGCGGTGTCTGTGACGTCACAGTTCTGACAATTATAAACACATAACCCCAGCGTATATAGTTTAAAAGATTTCGTGATGAATTATAACCACCGTAAGTGGTGCCCTACCATGGAGTACACTTTGTCGCGGTGTAGGGCTCAGTAGTCACATTTTTCTGTGGCACAGCTAAGTATCCCAGGCGGGTAAATCTGGTTCCAAGGATGCTGTATCATTAAAATGCTTCATGGAGTAGAGAAATCCAAAACGGTTTTCGACGATTGCTCATTAAATGTAATATAGAAAACTATATTGACATGAGTAGCGCATTTTTCACGTAGGTACGTTAACTCCTGACGCGTGCGGTAGACGACAATTTGGACAACTTTCGAATTCGATTGAGCCATTTGCCGATAGAGTTTCGAATAATCGGACTAGATCATGACTTGTTAAACGTGATAAAGGAGACTTTATCGACACTAGTACTCCTTTGGACTCTGAGGGTTTGTAAAAGTAGCTTGATGGTAGGGCAAAGAAAAGAATTGTTTTCTTCGTCGACAGCTAAGGAAACTGCATACAGGTTTGCGTGAACCGTATGTTGCGGGCAAATTTTGACTTAACTGTGAATAAGTTGCCAGAGTCTTCTGTTCGACTGCACCCAATGTAAGAGGGGCCGCCATAAAAACTGTTTTTCCAAAAAAATTTGTTTTAAGAACTACTTTATAAATTTAGACCTTTATCTACAAAATGTTTGTAACAGAAAACTCTTAAAGTGGGCATAGCTTACTGAATCATCTCCATATGATTATGGATGTTTTCTGATGAACAAAAATCTGTGTTTGATGCAATAAATATTAACAACATCATTTCATCAATGTTTGGCAGATTTGCTGCTATCAGCTTTCGTATACCCACTTTCCATTCTTATCTGGTTTTAAAAACTAAACTTTATGATAATATAATCACTATAAAATGCAACAAGCACTCAATTAAAAAACGTGGACAAACTCTACAAACGCACAGAGGATTAGGATAATGACGTCACGCGCTCTGATTGGCGTTTGATATCACGTGACAAATGTCGTTATTTTTTAATTTTAGTTTTACTAAAATATAATAGTTTCTCGTGTACATTACCAAAGAAAGTTATTTTTCGATACCCTGACACCTTACTCTATCTTATGAAACAAAAATTTCTTTATTCTTTTTCCACTGTCATGTACCCTATTGTGATATCTCGCCTTTCTAAAGCGACAGTCTCAAGGCTATCAGCCCAAAAAATCTAGGATGCTACTGACATAAATCAGTTTCTGGTACGTGCTGATGACTTGCAATATTTGGCAATGAAAGTAAGTGTTTTTGAAAATCAAGTTTAACTTGAACTTACTTAAGTATTCATTTTTTAGGTTATACTTGGGATATGCTGGAGCATGTAGACGTGATGAGATCACAAATATGTCCACTGACGATGTTGACTATAAAGAAGACACAATTCTCGTCAGAGTTCCTAAAACTAAAACAAATGTGGCAAGATTATTTGTAATAACCGACGCTCACTGGTTGCTCCTTATTAAAAAATATGCAAACCTCCGACCCTGTAGTACCGCTACGAAGCGATTCTTTCTGACATACAGAAATGGCAGATGCACCACGAGCCCTATAGGAATCAATAGCTTTATTCGATTTAGTTGACTATGCGCGCTATATATCACTTTCGTCACATTGTGGGTATTCGTTTTAGAACCGCAATTTGACTGTGGCTGCCGTTACGTTATTCGTTTTACATTTTCTGCGTCAACACCGTGTCAAGTTTGTGTTGCCGCACGGAACACATGCTAAGGGAGCATGTTCTAGTTGCGTCAAATGTCAAGAGTTTGTTGTTTTAGGTTACGGTAAAAGAATTTAAGTTTTTTAGCGATCGTTTAATTTCAAAAATTATGGAACAGGTGCGTTTTTATGTTGATGTCGTTGAACGTGATTATACATGGTTTCGGCAAAAGACTACATCGGCGACTCGACGATTTATTATTTTATTTTTTCAGCCTGGGTACATTTGTTCCGTGTGCAACACAAATGTAGGACTGACCACCTCAGCTGCAAAGCACCATGACTGCATGGAGGGTCATGAAAACATATGGATAGTGGACAATTACATCTACCCATATGATCCTACTTCTCAAAGTGAAGAATTCCATACTGAATTGAGCGACAACTCTAGCGGTAAGTACACTTTGGAACTGTATACTTGGAAATTGTCTATAACAAGACCTACTATTTTCAGAATCAAATTTAAATGTAGATAATGAAGGACATTCCTCTGCTACACCACAGCTGTGGCCACTTCAAGCTAAGAAGTTATTAATAGAATTGTACCCTAAGTATCTGAAACGTTTTTCAGATAGAGTAATTATTTCTAAGGAACAAATGTTTGCCAAACTAACAGCTGAATTAAATGAGTATGGATATAAATACACTGCTATGCAAGTAAAGTACAGATGGCGATGCTTCGAAAAGGCTTATAAAAATTTTGCTAAGCATACAAAAAGTACAGGTCGAGGTTATAAGAAATTCGAGTTTTACGATGAGCTGCATGATATATTTCAGAAGGAACCAAGATTCTACCCAGAAGTACTCACTTCAAGTGTAGCAACAAAAACTTTGCAAGAAGAAAATGCACTTCCTCAAAATGAAAATGTGCTTCCAACAATGTTAAGTTTTGTCTTCAAACTATAGCCTTTTGTTAAAATATTTTTTTAGTGAGGCGCCACTTGCAAATACAATCACAACCATAACGCAAAACCCACCACAAGGTTTTAATGTTCAAAAGAAAGGTTACAAACCTACATCTATTGTTCTGGAAGGAATACATGCAGAAATGAAACGGAAAAATGATCTAACTGAACAGAAATTAGCCATAGAGAAAAAGAAAAATGAATTGTTAGAACGCAAATTGGAGTTAATGAGTAAATACTTAGCAGAGAAGGAGAAGTCGGAGATTTAAATTGCTCATGTTGTGTTAAGTAATATGTAATATTTAAGTATAATGACTTATATAATGAAATAAATTAAGTACACATTCTTTATATCACACTTGCAATATAATTTCTTTTTGCTGCACCAGCGACATTTTCATCTTCTATGGCAGTTATATCCAATGGATTATGTTCACAATCAAACAACAATTTATCTTGTATTTGACATAAATTATGTAACACACAACACGATTTAACCAGGGCAACAACTCGTTCAATTTTTCGTAGTTTTACATGGTACAACTGACGAAATCGTTGCTTGAGAATGCCATTTGCATGTTCCACTTTGATTCTTAGTGAGCTATGCACTTTGTTATAGCGTGTTTGCATTCTATTAAGATGGCCATTATCTTTGTAAGGAGTAAGGCAGAAATCCAGGCATGGATAAGCCGAATCTCCTAAAAGATGTCCATCTACAAGAACTGATTATGTAATTTTTTTTATTATTTAATTAAAAATTACCTTGACATAATTCTGATAGTTGTGGATATATAAAACTTGATGAGAAGACACGTGCATCATGCACAGAACCTGGATACCCAATAAAAACATCTATTAATTTGCATTTGTCGTCACATATGATTTGCACCTGTATCGAATGGTAATGCTTCCTGTTGCAATAAGATTCCTGATGTTTTGTAGGCTTGTCGATTTTAATATGTGTCCCATCTATAAATCCTACATTAAAAATTCATTTTAATCCCGACAATCTTTACTTTAGTGATCTCACCAACGACACCTGGAAAACGTGTTCTTCTGAAAACTTCTGAACTGGTCTGCTGTATTTCTTGTTGTGAAGGCCACTTAATGACTTCTGCAGCCATTTCATCAAAAAACGCATTCATACGACTTCATTATTTCAAATAACGTCGATACTGTGATGTTGAACCGATCACCAACATCTACATATGTACAGGAGTGGCCTACATACCACAGAAAGATTTCCAAATGTTTTTTTGGTTCAACTACATCCTTTCCTTTTGCTAAAATGTACATGAATTTTAACTACTTATACATTAAAACCAAATTTACCTACTATGAAAATGTTGTAAGAAAATATGGCTTTCAGTAAAACGTTCTGTCAAACTGTTCATTAGCTCCTTTGAAATTCTAAAATGAGTTTTAAACTCATTATCATTGTAACTCACTACAGTGATTTCACTGTAATTTTTTATAGCGTTTCGCTCTGTCCTTGCTGATGAAACTATTGCACCCACTACTTCATTATCAAAATCGGAAGATGAATCTGTAGTCTCATCTTCATCGCTTTCAAAAAGTAAGCTGCCAAAAATAACATCCTCAGTAAGCGCCATAATTCAGTGCAAGTAATTTTGGAGGTTAAAAAAGACGGTTATGTTAAAAACTTTTCCA